TGCCCGTCTTATACGTTAAATTTATATTTATATTACAGAGCCTTGTTAAAACTCTTATATTTGATACACGCTGGCTTAAAAAATGCGTTTGTTTACCAACATTAATATATATAACAGAGAAAAGTATAGAATCGAAAGGATCTGAATAGCTCAGCTGGAAGAGCAGTCGCCCGGCAAGCGAAAGGTCTCGGGTTCGATTCCCGATTCAGCGATTTTCGGATCTATATTTTTCTCTTGCATTCATTTATTTATTTTCCGTAGGGGGGTTAAAGGGGTATTGAAATTAAATCTCAAAATATGAGATTATTTCATATTTAAAATCTTGGCCGTGTCCAAGTAAAAATTTGGTGCCTTGTGCACCGGTATTTAATTCTAACGAAAAATTATTTAGTTTCGTTAGGATAACGCATTGTCATCCGCGATTTGGCTCTTGTTGCCCGTCTTATACGTTAAATTTATATTTATATTACAGAGCCTTGTTAAAACTCTTATATTTGATACACGCTGGCTTAAAAAATGCGTTTGTTTACCAACATTAATATATATAACAGAGAAAAGTATAGAATCGAAAGGATCTGAATAGCTCAGCTGGAAGAGCAGTCGCCCGGCAAGCGAAAGGTCTCGGGTTCGATTCCCGATTCAGCGATTTTCGGATCTATATTTTTCTCTTGCATTCATTTATTTATTTTCCGTAGGGGGGTTAAAGGGGTATTGAAATTAAATCTCAAAATATGAGATTATTTCATATTTAAAATCTTGGCCGTGTCCAAGTAAAAATTTGGTGCCTTGTGCACCGGTATTTAATTCTAACGAAAAATTATTTAGTTTCGTTAGGATAACGCATTGTCATCCGCGATTTGGCTCTTGTTGCCCGTCTTATACGTTAAATTTATATTTATATTACAGAGCCTTGTTAAAACTCTTATATTTGATACACGCTGGCTTAAAAAATGCGTTTGTTTACCAACATTAATATATATAACAGAGAAAAGTATAGAATCGAAAGGATCTGAATAGCTCAGCTGGAAGAGCAGTCGCCCGGCAAGCGAAAGGTCTCGGGTTCGATTCCCGATTCAGCGATTTTCGGATCTATATTTTTCTCTTGCATTCATTTATTTATTTTCCGTAGGGGGGTTAAAGGGGTATTGAAATTAAATCTCAAAATATGAGATTATTTCATATTTAAAATCTTGGCCGTGTCCAAGTAAAAATTTGGTGCCTTGTGCACCGGTATTTAATTCTAACGAAAAATTATTTAGTTTCGTTAGGATAACGCATTGTCATCCGCGATTTGGCTCTTGTTGCCCGTCTTATACGTTAAATTTATATTTATATTACAGAGCCTTGTTAAAACTCTTATATTTGATACACGCTGGCTTAAAAAATGCGTTTGTTTACCAACATTAATATATATAACAGAGAAAAGTATAGAATCAAAAGGATCTGAATAGCTCAGCTGGAAGAGCAGTCGCCCGGCAAGCGAAAGGTCTCGGGTTCGATTCCCGATTCAGCGATTTTCGGATCTATATTTTTCTCTTGCATTCATTTATTTATTTTCTGTAGGGGGGTTAAAGGGGTATTGAAATTAAATCTCAAAATATGAGATTATTTCATATTTAAAATCTTGGCCGTGTCCAAGTAAAAATTTGGTGCCTTGTGCACCGGTATTTAATTCTAACGAAAAATTATTTAGTTTCGTTAGGATAACGCATTGTCATCCGCGATTTGGCTCTTGTTGCCCGTCTTATACGTTAAATTTAGTTTTATAGTTTTTATTTTCTTTATAATATTATAACTAATTATTAATATGCATAATCATTAAGAAAATATAACTTACAAAGTCGTATCGTTTTCCATAATGTCCTCCAAAATTTCTTTTTTTGTAAACAAATTGGTATTTGTTATTTCTTTTAAAGCCATGTTAAACCTATATTAATGTGTTTATATTATTAAATGCTTTTTTAACAATTATTAATAATATAAATAATGTTCCACATTGAGTTTTATACCAAAATTTTGCTCTGTGAAAGTAGAATTTATTAATTTTGATACTGATATTTTCAGCATAATAATCTTTAATACTTACGTTAAAAAGAAAATGAATGTACTACACAACCGTCTTGGAGTCGATACACACAAGAAATGCTCTACGGTTTTTTGCTAGCGTCTTTTTTTTTCCTTAGAAACGATGAAAAAAGAAATATTTGTTTTCCTTGAAAAACAATAGAAAGTTAAAAACAAATAAATATGAATAACTTTAATTGTAATTAATAAAATTAATAATATAGAATTTAATTAATAATATTATTCCACATTAATATATTAAAATAATGAAAATAATGACACAGTTTCTCTATACCTATATATTTACATTATGTTTGTCCAAATTTTACGTTATATTCTTTATTTCTAAAAATATTTATAATAAGAAATTAGGCGCGGCTTTTTTTGTTACATAGAGTATTATTTTATAAATGCTAATAGGCACAATAAATAGTGGTAAACTTTGTATTAATAATTTAAATTTAATAATTGATTTTAATTAATATAACAAATAATTACATAAATGTTTTTAATGTAATATTTATTTTAATTTATAAATGTTTTATTATAATATTATATAAATATCTTACTTTTGTTTAAGTTATTATGTATATTTAAAAGCTCAATCATTCCAGGCAGCTATTTGAATGATAATTTCACTGTTGTTCATAATAAAATTATAAAGATGCGTTTCTACCATTTCTTTTGGTTTTCGGTTGATCTGATTTAAAATGTTGAACTGCTATAACCTGTTATTTTATAAAATAAATTAATTGTATTAATAAAATTTTGAAATATTTTGTTAATTAAGAATAAAATATCTAAATTGGTTAAAATTTATGATCATAAATTATTACTAAAATTTTAATATTATTATCAATAAGTATATAATGTATACATGTGTATAATGTGTATGTAGTATAGGTAAAGTATGTGCATATGTTAGTGTGTGCGTGTGTGTGTACATGTGTGATTTGCGTGAGTATGTACACATGTATGTATATGCGTGCGTATGTATTTGTGTGTGTAAATTTAATTCTATAGTTATGATCAATGTTATAATTATTAATAAGCTGTAACTTACAAAATTATATCATTTTCTACAAGGTGCTCCAAAATTTCTTTGTAAACAAAATATTTTTAATTTTTTTTAGTTATTTACTTTAAAAATTGATGTTTTCTTCTAGAAAAAGAATCCTTAGAAATAATTTAAAGAAAAAAAAATATTTGTCTTTCCTGGAAAAAATCAAGGAAAAAAGATACTTAGAAACAAATAAATATTAATAAGTTTTTAATTTTAATTTTATTTTACTAAATTAAAGTAATATTTTTATTAAGAATTCTTAATTACAAACTTTATAAATAAATAACTATAGACTAATAAATAAATAAATGATAATCCTTAAGAGTCGCCAGTAATAAATAATGAAAAACTCTCCTCCAATTTTAAAGTCGACCAGACTGGCAATAATTTATTTTAAATAATTAGTTTAATTTACAACGTTTCGGCTGTCATTGCAGCCCTTTTCAAGTAATCTATAAACAATTATATACATATAAATATACTCTTAATGCGCTTAATCATACAAATAATTATAGATTTACAAAAATATATATGTTTACATACCAGATTAATACAATAAATCATATTTACAGCAAACCCCCGACAAAATTAACCATTGTTTTGATGAACAATGTATAACTGACAGAAGTAAGCCCGAAATAAATAGATGCCCAGTCAGCACAAAAGATCCCCTAGATGTACATAGAATATACGGAAATGGATTCTGGATATCCTGTGTATATCATAACACATCTGAAAGATGTCCATTGCAGATCGTATAGATGTTCAAAAGCAATGCACCGTAGGTCTCAGGTAGATCTATTATACATCCATTTGTACATCCAATGTACATACATGGAACATACATTTTTGTATATCCATATCGTCGCACTTTTAGCATATTCTATGTGTATCCAAAGAACGTGTATTGTACATCACATGTATGTATTATATATATCCAAAGAACGTATATTGTACATCACATGCATGTATTATGTACATCCAAAGAACGTATACTGTACCTCGCACATACATGTACTATGTATATCGAAAGAACGTATACTGTCCATCATATGCATGTACTACGTATATCCAATATATATATCTATATGTACATTTAATGTATATACATTTTCATATATTATATGTATATATTATTTGAGAGGTTCAAAAAGATTCAAATATACAGCCATATAAATATACAGGTTTTGATCATTTTGTATTTAGTATTTTATTATAAAAATGTGACAAATTTTTAAACTAATACTTTAATTATCTACCTTTAATTGTACATATATATATATATATATATATATATATATATATATCAAGATTCCAGCTAATTTTATTCGACATTGGATATCCGTGTACTATATACATAATATGACGTACAAAATGTTTTTCGAATATCATAAAAAATAAATGCTAAAGAAATTATATGGATATACGAAAATGTATGTACATATAAACAGTGGATGTAATAAACATATTCACTGTATACATATATTTTTGTATATTAATATAATTTTTTAGCATTTATTTTTTATTATAATTTTCGAAAAACATTTTAAATGTCATATTATGTATGTATAGTACAGATATCCAATGAAGTTATTTCTAATACATACATATATAATATATTCTATACAATTAAAAACTGTTGTTTCAACCGTTGTTGTGTTTTAAAGTTTTAAAATAAAAAGAACTCAATTTTAAAATAAAAACAAAAAGCAATTTTGATAAATGTGCACTAAATAAAAAAAACAAAAATAATAAATGCAAATAATATATATAGTAGCAGAACAATCAAATTAATAGTATTTAAAACCTTAAAATTTTACATTTAATTTGTAATAAATGTAAAACAAATAATTATATATATATATAACGGCAAGTTATACATATAATTATCTTAATCTTGAATAAGGTCTTTCTCAGAAACGGAGCCTGTTTCACAAACGGAGCCTGTTTCACAAGCAGAGCCTGTTTCACAAACGGAATCTGTTTGACACACAGTGTTTTCCGTTTTCTTTTTTGATTGAAACTTGTTACTGCGTTCTTTACTTCTAACTAGCCAATTTTTTATTACTTCTATGATATCCGATTCTGTTGCAGATTTTGTCTTGGAGTTCAGTCGAACAACACCTAAAATCATTTAGTAAATATAAAAGTTACGCACGCATATGAGCATTACATAACGTAACTGTGCAACATAACCGGTGTGAACAGATCTGCGAACTTTAATGCGTAACATCATCATATAATACATATATATTACAGATATTAAATTAAAAAATTGTGAATAAAAAAATGAAAGCGACAAAGTAATGTAACAAAATTAAATTCAAATTCAAATTTTTTTATTTAAATATTATTTGATTACGCAACACAGTTATGTTACGATGAAACTTGATTCAAGCGTATATGTATATGCTTAAAATGGTTTTGATGTAGAGTATATAAAATAATATATTTTACCAATGATCACTTGGACGAACTTTAGCGATTTAAAAGCTTTTTTTTGCCGAGCTCCCTCCCAGGAATATAGCATTCCAACTTCATTTGAAATTGCTCTCGACATAATGGCTTTGATTACATGGGGAAGATCTGTGCCTCCAATTAAACGCAGTTGATGACTCTAAAATATAAAATTCACAAAATAAAAAAGTTCTTTATTAGAAAATAATTTTCATCATGTAAAATATAATCTAAATAATATATAATAATATAATTAAGTACACACCAGTGCATGTATGTTATCAGCTGGACTCGATAGCCATTCTTCCATCGACATTAATTCCTGCTCTGTAACGACTGGAAACGATTGTATTAAAGTCATAACAGCCGTATTAGTGTCATCATTTAGTTCTGGCTCATCAGCATATCGGGCTTTTTTTACAAGTATATTCACGTTATCCATAAGATCATTTAATTTAAGATTAATCAGATGAACTTCTTTAAAAAGTTGTTTTCTGAATTCTGAAAATTCTGAAAGTTAAGTTATATTGGATATTAAAATATTATACAAAAAGGAATATTTAAAAAATACAAAACATATAAAGAATAAAAATAATTATTTACCAGCATTTACGTGAACGCTATCTGTAGTTTGCTTGAAGTTATCTTAAAATAACAAGAAAATATTATCAATTTAATTAATAATGCTTATTTAACAGAATTGTTGTATAACAACAAACTTGTTATATTAAGGCCGATAATACGTTGGTGAATTCAATGCAGAGCAGAAAAAATTTCAACATATGTATTCCTATGATAGTATGCTACAGCGGACTACGCTGGGCCTGTCGTAGCTTATCTACCATAGGAATATACTCGTATGTATATGTTGACGACTTTTCCGCTCCGCATTGAATGTACCCATGTGCTACCGGCTTTAAAGTGGAATAAATTAATATAGAATTTATTTATTAACATTATTATTTAGATTAATTTATATTAATACTATTATTTAAGTAATACTATTATTTATTATTGAAAAAATCAATATTGTTTTAAAATATTAATTTTTTAAATGTATATTATAATTGTTATCTAAAACCAAAATATTTAAATATAAATATAAAGTGGAATAAATTAATATAGAATTTATTTATTAACACTATTATTTAGATTAATTTATATTAATACTATTATTTAATTAATACTATTATTTATTATTCAAAAAATCAATATTGTTTTAAAATATTAATTTTTTAAATGTATATTATAATTGTTATCTAAATATATTTATATTTAAATATTTTGGTTTTAGATAACAATTATAATATACATTTAAAAAATTAATATTTTAAAACAATATTGATTTTTTCAATAATAAATAATAGTATTAATTAAATAATAGTATTAATATAAATTAATCTAAATAATAGTATAAGTATGCTGCCTTCTAAGCCGGGCAATAGAGCCAAGGAAACGAAACGAAAAATTAATTAAATCCGTTTAATTAATTTTTCGTTTCGTTTCCTTGGCTCTATTGCCCGGCTTAGAAGGCAGCATACTTATATTCTTTATATTGAGAGCCGATAAAAATATTTATTTCTGAGTTTATTCACGCCTGGGCTAATCACGGCGGTATTTACTAACATCTACTTAAAAGGCAAATGAAAAATATGGGATCGAAAGGGTCTGAATAGCTTAGTTGGTAAGAGCAGTCGCCCGGAAAGTGAAAGACGCGGGTTCGATTCCCGCTTCAGCGACTTTTCGGACCTATATTTTTCTCGCTTATTTCTCCATATGTAAGTTTCGAAATTAATTTATATGTGGAACTTTGGGATCTCAAATTGAGATACAGTTCCGTTTAATTAATTTTTCGTTTCGTTTCCTTGGCTCTATTGCCCGGCTTAGAAGGCAGCATACTTATATTCTTTATATTGAGAGCCGATAAAAATATTTATTTCTGAGTTTATTCACGCCTGGGCTAATCACGGCGGTATTTACTAACATCTACTTAAAAGGCAAATGAAAAATATGGGATCGAAAGGGTCTGAATAGCTTAGTTGGTAAGAGCAGTCGCCCGGAAAGTGAAAGACGCGGGTTCGATTCCCGCTTCAGCGACTTTTCGGACCTATATTTTTCTCGCTTATTTCTCCATATGTAAGTTTCGAAATTAATTATATGTGGAACTTTGGGATCTCAAATTGAGATACAGTTCCGTTTAATTAATTTTTCGTTTCGTTTCCTTGGCTCTATTGCCCGGCTTAGAAGGCAGCATACTTATATTCTTTATATTGAGAAACGATAAAAATATTTATTTCTGACTAAATAATAGTGTTAATAAATAAATTCTATATTAATTTATTCCACTTTAAAGCCGGTAGCAGTATTTAAATATATAAATTGCTAAGCCGTATTTTCTTCAGTATATTGATCTGATTAATAATGTAATAATAAATATTTTACATAAAAGTTCAAGTTTTAAAAATACTTACGATTAGTAATATTTTGACTTTCCATTGGAGAGCGATCATTATCTGTTAAATATAAGGAAAATTAGTTTTTGAAAATAAAATGAATTCTTACTAGAAAAGTATTTATCTTATACCGTGTCTCTTGCCAGAAAGTGGTAATGTAGGGTATGTGTTGCTATCTTCATCAGATATCGATTCATAAGATTTATCAGTATCTGAGTAATCCTTATGTCCTTTACTTTTGCCTTGTCCCCGCTTATGTATTTTATTATTCTTTTTCGTTAAAATCTCCGTATGTGATGAAAGATCATCTGTACGTTGGGCTTTAATTGCCTTTCTTTTAGCAAGTTTTAAATCACCTAAATAAATATTACTTATTATATATCCAATAACAAAGAATATAACTACCATATTGTTGTACATTATAGAATTGCATATTAAATAAATGTGTGGTACAAAATAACAATGTAATTATTATAAGTTTATGATAATTACAAATAAAAGAAGATATTCCATGATTAATAACAGTGTGTGTGTGTGTATATATAATTCTTTATACATATATTAATAATTTAATAATTTTTTTTATAAAAATGTTATACAATTTTATATAATATAAGCAATAACATATTTACCATATGTGCCTAAAATAATTGCTCCGTATTTCATCCGGTTTGAATCAGGACTATATTCATTTTTTATAGCTGCTTTAATAGCTGTAGTTTCATAATTTTGTGGTGGCCAATAGCATGCAGATTCTTTTAACAAAAACCATTTTTTCGGTATTGCCTCAACAGTGTCATCTTCTTTGAATCGAACAACAAGCCAAGTCATCTATATACACATATTAATCAATTCTTAAAAATTCCTAAAACTCAAATTCAATTATTAAAAACTTCTCTAGTAGACAATGAAATAAACAAATAGAGATATGTCATTTGAGAAAAACTATGATTTAGCAAATAGATCAAGATCACTTAAAGAATAAAATAAATATCATAACTGACTCTTCTTTGAAATCTTTTTCGTTACTTTTATTCTCAACGTGCTAATTTTTTATTTTAAAATTTTTATGGGCTACAGGTATTCAGATTTAATTACTTGATAACCTGATAGTAATCAATTTCGGATCTCAATCTAAACTGAACTTTTATCTATCAACGAATAAATATCTCAACGAATAAAATTCAGTGAAAAAAAATTAGTTATAAAATTTACACAATTTAACAAGAGGGTTTTTTAAAATATAATTATTGAAAGACTAGAGAAAAGGAATATTTTTTTAAACAAATAAAATACATATGTAATAAAGAAATTAATAAAAAAATAAAAAATTCAATGCAAAACTGATCAATTAATTATTATATTATAATAAATCTGAATTAAGTATATTTTGAGACTTTATACTAATTAAATAAGAAAAATAACTTATAAAATTAACTTTTCGTTAGCTTGTATGTTATTTTTCTTTTCTAGCTAGTATAAAGTTTCCAAATATTTAAATTAAAAATTATCAAATATTTTATGTTTAACTAACTATTGAAAAATGTGATCGATTATTATTTATTATAAAATTATTTAAGACAATTATAAATGCAGTAGAGGATATGCAATATATTGATCATTATATGGTAAAACTAGTAATTTTCTTTTGATCTTGTCAAATCTCCACATTTGAAATATAGTATTATATTTTATAATAACTTTAATATCAAATAATGAAGAAAAACATGGTTTTGAATAAAAATCTTTGTGAGGAATATACTTGATACCTATTAAAAATATTTCATTTTGATATGATGCAAAATTTAGTATTTCAACGATAGTTGAATCGGTCAATTCGACAAATCGATCAGCTACTTTTAAAATATTTAAGCAATAATTAATCGTTTTAAGTTTCCTGTACTGCGGAGAAGTGCAATTATTTATTAATGGACCATTAAAATGTTCCTGCAATAATGTTATGGAATTATCATTTACAAATTGTATTGGTTGCAAAAAATTATTATCCTCACTAACTCTACACACAACTTGTTGTAGCTGCTGCGAATGTCTACGGATATACTTTTTCAACTTTTGCATATGATTTTCAAATGCAAAAGCACTGAATTCATCAAGTGAACCAAATAAACGTACACAATCACTTAAATGCAATAGACTATGTATGTTGTGTGAAATAAAATCGGGTCCATAAATTTTAATTGAATTCTTAATAAAATATTTTATTAGGTTTTCGGCATATGAAATATAATTTTCAAATTTTGTGTACTGATTACTTATCAATATTGAGCTAGCTAAACTTAGCATAAGAAAATTATTATACTCTTTTAATGGTATTACTTTCTTCAAAACTATTGGGCCTGTATATAACAGAAAAAGTCTAAATTCGGTCGCCTTAAATCTTTTACATTCGTTTATTGGCCGAGTTTTTCTTGCAAATTCACAAGGAATATATTTTTTTAAAGCCTGAAGATTATTGTTAATTTTATTAATATTTAAAGCACGTAATTTATGAGGAGGCTTGCCAAATATCCATCCATAACGCTTACAACATAACAACCTTTTTGTTGCACCCAATAGAAGATTATGCATATAATCTAAAGGTACATTATCAATCATATTAAAATTGGGAATTTGAAGCCAAAGTGTTTCTCCTGTGTGGTGTTCGATTTGAAGGGTATTTCTAAATGAATGATCTGTTCTTTTTTTTAAATTTTCAGTTTCAACGAAGCATAAAACGTTATTAACCATATCCCCTTCCTGATCACACTTCGTACATGAGAAATAACCTGAATGACTTTTAATAGATAAAATGTGAGATTTGGCCGGGGTATCACAAATTAACATTAAAATTTTGAATTTACATAAAACAGATTGTATCATTATTCCATTTGATAATTTTATACATTCTTCTACAAAATCCTTTAAAAATTCATTGGCTTTAGGTTTTTCATTTCCATAATGTAAAGCTATTATGAATACTTGATTTTTTAGATTTTTAATTGATTTAACTGTACCCAAAATTGGCCAAAAGGAACTTGATGTGCTTTTTGTTAAAGGCAGCCCGTCAATATTAATTGCCAGAAAAAATTCTGTATTTTGATCGACAGTTACATTATGTTTCAAAGATAAAAAATTTAGTGACTTGCGTATACCAAAATAATGATATGAATTATTTAAAGAATTAGATTTGCGGGGTGTTTTCAAAATAGTACGTGGATCAGCTGGCAAGATATTAATTAATGATGGTTCTTCGCGTAGTATATCTAATAACTGTTTAAATGCAGTTAAACTAACATTTCTGTCAATAGACCATTTTCCTAATTTTGTGGAAAGAGATTCCTTAGGCTTAGCAAATAATGGAGGTGAAATATTAGTATCATTACGTTGCTGTAAATCATTAAGAAAAGAATAATCATTCTGTTCCAAATTATTGCTTTGATTATTTAATAAAATGTTATCATTATTTATAAAATCATTATCATTATTATCATTATTATCATTATTATCATTAAAATCATTATTATCAATAACAATTTCATTATCAACAATATTATATATTTTTTTACAATTCTGATTATAATATTCATCTAACAAGGGACATGTCACAACTGTCCGGAACCGATTTGATTCTCCTTGAAATATGTTGTTAAATACACAAATCTAAAAGACACGTATTTTTTTATACGTGCGCAATTTGAGTTTTAAGGGGTGAAACACCCCTTTAAAGAATAACGGTATTTTTCTTTAGGATCAAATATCTGCTAAACTATAAGAGATATAAAGAAAAAACGTACAACAAATTTTAATGGCTTGAAGAGTACTTTAAAGTTATATGAACAAAAATTTTTTTTTTTTTTTTTTTTTTTAAAAACCCTCACCACCTAATTTTTTTTTTCAAAATTAAAAATTTTGTTTTACCTAATTTAAAGCTTATTTTTTTCCAAATTCAACCATGTGTAATAAAGTTATGTTACGAAATATCATTTTCGAAAATTAATTATAAACGCTCCCGTATATACGCTCATCCGTGCTATGTGCGTAAGTAATTACCGTCGAACAATAAAATATATAAAAAATGTTTTTGTATAATTCTTATTTATGTTTTCTATGTATTTATAACTGCGTATTGTGTATATTTAGATTTAAAAAAAAATTTTTAAATATAATTAATAAGAATTTTTTAAATATACCCCCTGCTTTCTTATTATTTCTTTAATATTTAATTTCTTCTATAAAAATTAAAAACAATTATATTTTATAATAAAATTATTTTTTAATTGAATCTTGCGAATACCAATGTCGCAATATTTGGCATAAACAAATTTTATATCTTACGTTAAATGAATCATAAGATAAGATTATGTGTACGTGTTCCAGATAAGTTATAATTTTTACAATAAAATCTTTAATACGTTAAAATAAATAATAAAATAAGATTATGTGATGACGTATTTCTGATAAGTTAATATAAATTGTTCATGTAGCAGCATAATTCTCACAGTCGGTGTAGTCTTTTCGTTGTAATAATATCTGTGTAAACTGTTCTTTTATTGCAATAGAAAGCAAAATATAACATCTTTGAATATGATTATCAATCCGCTTAACGTTGTTAGACTTTTATTGGTGTCAATAAATTCAATATATTTAACAGAAACGCCAGTAACTGAAGCAGAAGTGGAATTAAAGGAAAACATTAAAAAAATATTACTGGATAGCGTTTTTCATTATAATGGGGTGGAAGTAACGGAAGAAATATATCTCGATTATGAAGAACCTTATAAATTACATAGTTTTGAAATAATTGAAGATGACGAAGAAGCATGGCATGAAGATAGTTTAAATTCTCATCCTCATTGTTCAAATGATGATACAAATTTTGATAGTTCTTATAAAAGACGAGCTGTTGAGTATTGGCGATTTCGGGACACTGATGAAAACAGTAATGACAGAAAAAGGAATCGTCCTCTAAGAGTAGTACAAAATAAATTTAGAAGAGTTTCATCTGAACGTCAGTTAAGGCGATGGGAAGAACAAATACAATCAGGTGGAAGTCGTACAGAAAAATTATCTTACATCTCCAAATTTACACATGATAAATTTACTGCAGCTGTCGAATCAGGATTCATGGTTCATTTTCCCTGTAGTTCCTTTCGGTATTATCATAGTAGTAATATGTGTTCCAGGAGGTGTTAAATCCGAAATCATATTGGGGCAATGTCCAGTCCATGAATCGATAAGAAGAACGCTATTAGGACCAATGTTTGCGAAATAAGCTTCTTCTAACCACATTTTAAAATGATCTGTACAAAATATAAATGTTAATTTAATAGTTTTTTTATGACTCTTATTAAATTGTTAAATAAAATAAGGTTGTTAAAAAAAGTAATTATAAAAGGAAAATACCTGATGTCATTTTACCAGATTTCGATGCTTTTACAATAACATTTTCTGCTTTAAATAAATTTTCTTGTACTCTTGGTCCAAATTTACCATTAGCTTCTTTTAATACAATAAATAAAGGGGACAACAAATTGCCATTACAGGATATTATTGGTTGTATCGTATATGAATGGGTTGTTGATGATATGGATTGCACGACACGTTCTACTTTCTTTTCTCCCTGGTTAGACAATGATCTTCCAGAGTGAAGTTCCAATTGGAAACCACTTTGATCTGAATTGTAAATATTTTCAGATCCAAACTGTTCAATAAGAGGTTTTACTGTTTCCAGAAAATCATCAGCTGATTTTTGCAAATCAGCAGAATCTTCTAATGTTCTTCTAGTGACAAACTTCGTAACTTTTCTTGAAACAATTCGGTGAGACTTCTTA